ACGGTCTGTGAGTTGTGCATGAGCCTCCGATGCAGGCTGACATACAGGTTCATTAGCCCGCATTGGCACTGCTTCCCATCTGCCTAGTGCCTGAAGACAGTTAAAGTAAGTGAAAGATGGGGATATAGAATTTCTTTTTAACCCAGTGATCAGAGAGAGGGTGTGGGAGGGTGATTAACTCCACTTTCAAGGGAAAAAATAGCAAATAGAAAAGTAGTAATATGCAAAAAAGTATAGTATATACACAATTGCTACATAAGCCATATTGTAATTGAATATTATTAAAAATATAACTAGTGGAAGCACCGCAATGGCAAAAATTCAATACTAAAAGTAACACAAAATGCTATACAGTGAAATACATGTTTTAAAATATACAAATAAATTAATAAATTACATCAGTGAATGTCCAATTCATAAAGACAAATAAATGCTTCATGCAAATCCACCAAAAAATAAAGTCCTTCTATTCCACTGAACCACCACATGATTAAATGAGATGAATTCCACAAATGCCAAATAAACTTTACTCCAGTGTCACCATGTGCTCCAGAGAAGAACCTCCCCCAATTCAGTGACACTCCCCAGATATCGTGGCCCATCTACGCTTGTGGTGAGTATCATACGTAATAGGGCCCCTCAATCGCTCACACCCCCCTCGGCAATTAAAGGCTGGTGGAATGGTAGGACATCCTCTAAAAAGATTAACTCCGCCACAAGGAAGGAAACAAAGGAAAGCTTGTAGCGTGATAATGCTAAAAACCATGTATTGTAAAATCAGTACTAAACTCACATAATAAAAGTACAAGCATGCCCAACATGCACAATATCCTCAGAAAGTAAGTGATGTAATTTTCTGTAAAAGGCAATGCAATATGGCAACCTAGAGGCCTTCTGCACACAGTTGGTATACAGAATGCTCCTCAGAAATGTAGTTTCCTGCTTGTGTGATTGGCTCACTGATTTTCCCAGAAGACTGTATTAAGATGTTAGGCTTCATCTGCAACATAAATTTAGTTTTTTGGTGAGATACGCCTTTCTTCATTAGAACACTGCATGTGCATTAGCTGATTAATAATGAAAAAGTCACTCCTATTCAGATTTAGTTTAACCAAACAAACAGATTTTTCTTCAGAGCAGAAACAGGTTGGAATCAGAACAAAGTTTGTTCAAATCCCTGCAATGTACATAGATCACCCAGAGGGGACTGGTTTTTCTAAAAAAAAAATGGAGATACTCTTTAAATTTGTCCTGGAGTTGGGCTTTAAATTGAAGTCAGAACTTCTAAACTGCAAACTTGCCATGGCTCAGTGACTCAGAAAATACTGAAGCAATGATTTCAGCATGGCAGCCGGACAACTAGCATTTTCTGAAAGTAGACATCAGCAATGGCAGTCTACAAAGTTTCTCAGAAATGTGAACACAAGTAAAGCATATCTTCCAACTGTTCCTTATTTGGAGGGACTGTTCCTCTTTTGAGACCAAATCCCTCTGTCCCTTGGGCAACCTCAGTTGTTCCTTTTTTGGTTTGATGATACATCTCTATACAAAATACCATTTTACTACTAAAAGATATGTGCACTCAACTTTTTATTCAACCTCTACATTTACTGTATTTGCTATTTCAAAAAGCCAATATAAGGGAAAAATATTTCTGCATATTAGATCTTTGTGGTCCAGGTAATCGGGGTAATAACAGGGACATATCTTTTGCCTACATAATGGAGGTTATTTACTAAAATTGGAGAGTACAAAATCTGGTGCAGCTCTGCATAGAAACCAATCAACTTCCAGGTTTTATTGCCAAAGTTTATTTGAACAAACTGAATTTAGAAGCCGAATGGCTACCATGCACAGCTGCACCAGATTTTGTACACTCACGGTTTAGTAAATAACCCCCACCGTGTGCTAAAAGGTGTTTTTTCTTTATTATTTCAGGAAGTTGGGGGTATGGTAAAGAACACTGACATGATGCTTTTATCATTTATTTAACAAGAATGTTAAAAATACTAGATGCTATATAAATATAAATTTGGATAGAGTGGGGAAGAGGTAAATCAAACAAAAAAAATCCAAAATCAAATGTTGGTAGGTTTGCTGTTAAAGTTTATGATATAAAATCATAAAAAAACACACAACAACAAACGTGATAGGCAATTGAAAAAAAGAGATTCTCCAAAATATCATTATACTACTGAACTGAGTCTAAAAAAAATGCATGTGTTATCTGCTATACAGGGGACTGTCACAGTTCTGCATATTACATACGCATGAATAAATTTGATCAAAGCAACTTACTGAGTATAACTTTTTGTACTTATTCTAGAAACATGGGGTGAGTATGTACAGTATGTGTAAACAGGCACATTTTCTTTGTTTTGTTTTTCTCTTTTTATCTCTTTGTTTTTGTTTTTTTTTCTTTTTAGGTTGCCAGTATCATAAACTAATAATGTTGTGAGTAACACTAACTCAGTTAGCAAGCACTGTGACACATAAAGTTGCATTATTGTTATTCATTGTGTGTAAATTCCACAATTAACATTTTCAATCCAAACTTGAAAAGTAATCAGCACATCAATACGTGCTAAAAATTAGATTAGCTATACAAAAAGCAACATAAAATAACGGATAGTTAAAAAATATGTTGAGCAAAAAAACATGTACAGTATGTTGTGCATAGAACACATTTTTGTTTATCCTTAGTCACTGGGGTTTGGCAAAAGTATGTCTTTAAATAAAAAAAAATAGTTCCTTTTTCTCAGCTAGACAGAATGTGTAAATGGCCATTTATGTGTATATTGGTTAAAACAAGTGCTTGTGCTGACACATCCGCTTTGTTGGAAAGCAATATTTGATATAATGTGTAAAATGTTCCATTAGATTTTGCGGATTTGGCTCCCTCCTGTGGCTAATGAAACACACTTCTTAATGAAACAGCTTGTAGAAAGAAGTATACCTGCCAAAAGGCTGCTCCTATCACAGCTGTTCAGTAGAGTGTCCCCAACTCCATCTTCCCAGACCCTGCCCAGGGCCCTCTTAAGAGCATCATGGGCCCCTGGGCAAAGTAATGCACTGGGGGCCTACCAGCCCTGCCCCAATTAACTCTGGGCAAAGTAATGCACTGAGGCCCCTACCAGCCTGCCCACTTACTCTCAAGAATTAAAGTAGAAATAGTTGATAGAATTAAACATGTGGGGGGAGGGGAATCAGAAGGGGCACAATACTGGGATCATGAGGCACAGTACAGGTTCTGGGATGCTGCCTGGGCCATTCCAGGAATGCTTAGTAAAAAGCGTGACTCTCCTGGCAAATCCAGGACAGTTGGCAAGTATGATGTAATGCAAGATTATCATGGGGCCCCTATGCACCTAGGGGACCTGTTCAGTGCCCAGAGGTGCCCATGCATTAAACAGACAGCCCTTCCCCTGCCACCCCTTGCAACCTAGAAAATCATACAGGGATCTGGCTCTTCCCCAAAAGTCTTAGGGCCGGTTCACACTATAGAAATGCAGTCCAGATGTGTTCAGGATGCATTTTTGCATGAGCGCGTTCTGGTGCATGTTTGATGTGTTTTTGACACGTTCCAGTGCATTTTTTATGCATTCAGTTAATTTTTTCCTCTCTCTTTTTCTTCAATTTAAATAGGGACATGTGCGTTCCAGTGTGTTTTTAGTGCGTTCCAGTGCATTTTGATGCCTTTTTTACCACATTCCAGTACAGTTCTGTGCAGAAAAAATTCAGCATGTTCTACATTTTTTTTGCATCTGGAACCGCAAGCACTGATGTGAACTTTGACACTGACATCCATATAACCTACGTTCTGTGCATTTTGGATGCAGAAAAAAAGCAGCTGAAACGCATGTTGTGTGAATTGGCCCTTAAAGGAATGTGACCTGTGTGTTGAGCACCACAAAAGAGGACAGCAGAAGTTTTAGATATTACACATACTTTTTTATTGATTTAAGACAGCCTTTATGGTTTTAACTCCAGAGGAACCCCTAAATAAGTTTCAAGTCTCAGGGAACCCTTACTAAAGCCAGTTCATCAGAAGTCAGTGAGAAAAATTCCCCTTACTTTGGAGATCAGTAGGAAGAATTGCCCCCTTACAGTGGTGGTGCCATGCTGCTGGCCTTTGCCAAGTGACTTTGACCCTGGAATTATGGAATCATCAAATTAAAGGCCAATCAGCTGCAGCTCAAGGAACTCCTAACAACCTCAGGAAGAACCTCAGGGTCCCACATTACCAGGGGCGGACTGACAACTCATGGGGCCCCCGGGCAATAGGGGATCATGGGGCCCCTGTGTCCTTGCCCAAACTCAAAAAAGCCTATGAAAAAGGTACCAGGGGTATCTCATGGGGCCCCCTACTGACCCCGGGCCCTCGGGCAGTGCCTGAGTTTCCAAATGGTCAGTCTGCCCCTGCACGTTACCTAAGTTTAGAATTGCTGATGTAAAACATTGCACATGTTTTAGAGCCCTATCTTGAGGGCTGATTAAGATATATAGCTTTATTAGGAAGAGTTTACATGCCACCTGAGCTTATCAAGGAGTAGTTGTAAATATTATGCAAGAAAGCTGCAGATGTCATTGCTGATGCATATTGTTTGAGGGACAAGAAGAAAGGGGTTTAGTATAGTGGCAGAGCTACCTGCCCCTAATGGAATTCATGTCATTTTATTGGGTTGTCATGAGGATGCCAGTCACTCAAAAAATGACACTATAAATAAAGGAACATCATATCAGAGGAGCAACACCATTTGCAATTAAAGAGGGCTACTCTCAACAATGTATTAAAACTTAAAGTGTCACTAAACCCACAACAGTAAAATCAGTCTGTATATGCAGTAAAGCATGCTTGTTATACTCACTGTGGAACCTAAGGGGTTAATCCTCCACATTGTGTAAAAAGTATGTTTAATCATGTCCACTCTGATCCTCCCCTTCTTCTACTGTCCCCAATAGAACACCTGATAAAACAGAGGCTTGGAGAAAAGCTGCACATGCTCAGTTTGGTGTGTATTGCTAGTGAGTTTTTTTTTTTCTTCTTGGTAGAGTGCATGTGATCAGCATAGGGTCAATCAGCACTGTCCAGACAGAGGGGCAGGGGTTCTGCAGACTCATATGGGAAAATGAAAACTCCTACGAACTTTACCCAGTTCTCTGCTGGACACTGATAGAAGTCACAAGACTGCCCTGACTGCTGATGAGAAAAGGTATTTAGCAGTTTATAATTACTAAAATAATTACATTTCATGTTTTTGTGTACTGTGGGAGACCAGATATAGTGAATGCAGGGTCCTGGATTTAGTAACAATTTAAAGAATAACTAAAGACAAAATGTTTTTTTAAGTCTTGAATAGAGTGGAGATGGTCTAGAACACCTATTAGGTTTTTATTGCTGTCTGTGTCCCCGTTAGGGAGATTCACCCTCTCTCTTTGTCCTGTTTACTATATTGAAAGTGATAGTAAAGGAAAATCACTAATTTTGGGTTGTCCCCAGAAAAGTAATACAGAGGAAATCTGTCAATGGGGATACCAGTTCTGTTAACCTGGGGGGCCCAAGGGATTCTCCTAATTTGCAGGGATTTCCTCTCACTTCCTGTTTTAGCTATGTGTAGATAGTGTAGGGAAATCTCTCTAATGGAACACAGAAGGCAAAAAAAAAAAAAAAAAAAAATCTGACAGCATTTGGCATCCTCCCTTGCTCTATCCAAAATGAAAAAAAAATGGAAAAAAAAGTTTTGCTTATAGTTCTACTTTAACCACTAGGGGACCGCCCGCAGTACATATACTGCTACAATGTGCGCCCTGTGCGCAGGATCATGTGTATATATGTGATCCTGCATTCCGGGGTAGGGGCACGCACAAAACGCGTGGCCGCCATTCCCATGCCACTAATCGCGGCCTTCAATCACCGGGTCCCAGCCGGTCATTACCCGCCAGCTCCCGGCGACTGTCGGCAAACAGTGACACAGAGCACAGCTGCATTGTTTTCAATGCAGCTCTGCTCCCTGCCAGTTTCCAGCACACTGTTCCTGAGAGCGGAGTTTAGCTCTAGGGATCAGTGTGTTCCTGTGAAGTACACGCCCCCGTTCACTAGTAAAACACTCCCCTCACACAGTTAACCCTTTGATTGTCTCCAGAAGTTAACCCCTTCCTCCCCAGTGCCATTAGTAAAGTGTCAGTGGTTTTTTTTTTTGCACTGATCACTGTATTGGTGTCACTGGGCATGTCAGTGACCCCAAGTCAGTTCCCCCCCAGTGTCAGAAGTCCCGCCATAAGTCGCTGATCGCTGCCACAAAATGCTGATTGCCGCCATAAGTCGCTATTATTAGTATATTAAAAAAAATCCCAGTATATATACCACCATTTGTAGATGCTTTAGCTTTCATGTAAACCAATTAATTTACACGTATTGGGATTTTTTTTAGCAAAGACATGTTGCAGAATACATTTTGGCCGAAATTTATGACGTAATTTGATTTTTAAATTTTTTTACTGGACATGATTTATAGCAAATAGTCCAAAATATAGTTTGTTTTCTCAGACTTGTCGGTCTTTTTTTTATAGCGCAAAAATTAAAAACGCACAGGCGATCAAATACCACCAAAAGCTCAATTCGTGGGAAAAAAGGATCTTTGATCAGATCAGCACTATACCAGCGTTCACATTAGTATAGCATCTCCAAGAATGTAGCGCTAGTGGGATCAGCCCCGGCACCTGCCAGCACCTGCGTTTAGCCCCTATGCTTACCCCCGCCCCTTGTCCCCCAGTAAATGCTTTGACAGTAGGTCACTGTCACTTGATACATCACACACAAAACTGCAGTGTTCGCAGAATCAGGCCTGATCTCTGTTAGCACTTGGAGGTAAATTTTGATGACTCTCGTATGCAGCAGAGTGCCAGTACTAGTGCCGTGCTACCTTTTGGTGAACTGGTGAGCACCAGCGGTCTAGTACATCTTGGTCTTTCACATACCTCTTAGAGTGTAAGCTCCCAGGATCAGGCCCTCCTAATCCTCTTGTAATGTACTGTATTGTTCTGTATTGTCTCCCGTTATATTGTAAAGCGCTGATCAAACTGTTGGCGCTATATAAATCCTGTATAATAATAATAATACCAGCACTGCAGTATCACTTGGTGACATGGCGAGTCCCGTAAGTGCAGTACAAGCTGGTGCGGTGGTGAGCACAAGAATTGTCCCGCAACCACCAAGAATTCGCACACAGGCCTGTAGAGTCCTTAGTATCCTACCGGATGTGCTTGCAAATCCCGATTGGCAGCCCACAAATTCTGCAGCACTTGTACTTCCCCCGTTCACTGCCCCACCCAGAATTCAGGTGGAAATAGAAAATTTAACTACTCCCCTTGATTTTTTGGAGCTGTTTTTCATGGAATATCTGTATGCGTTGATTGTGTATCAAATGCACAACAATGTATTGCCGCCAACCCAAATTCAAACCTTGCCATACATTCACATGGAAACTCATTACGGTTTCTGAATATATATTTTTTTGGGCCTAACCCTAAACATGGGCATTACTAAAAAAAAAAATGAATTGGGGTTGTATTGGTCCACAGACCCGATTCATCATATCCCGTGTTTTCTGCTGCCATGGCCAGGCATAGACATGAGAGTATAATGTGTTTTATGCATTTCAAGGACAATACACTCTGTCATCCTCGGGGGGTGACCCTGAATTTGATCGGCTCCACAAAATTCAGCCCCTCACAAATCACCTTAATCAAAAATTTGCAGAAGTCTATACTCTCCAGCAAAAAATCTGCCTTGATGAATCCTTCATTAATTTTTCTGGCTGCCTTGCATTCAAACAATTTCTCCCCAGCAAGCGTGCCAGATATTGGGTCAAGATGTAGAAGACCTGTGACAGGGCAACAGGCTATACTTATAAGTTTTGGATTTACGAGGGAAAAGGTAGTCACGTGGAGCCCCCCAGATGCCCTGACTACATGGGGAGCAGTGGCAAGATAGTTTGGGACTTGGTGTCATCCTTTTTCTATATGGGGTACCACTTATACGTGGTCCATTTTTATTCAAGCGTGCCACTTTTTAGACATTTGTACAATCGGGTGGATGCAGGGCAGTATGTTTTAATGGTTGGCATACCACACATTTTTTTTTTTTTGGCAGAGATATCTTCTCTTTTTTTCATTCAGTCCACAGGCTGCATACAAAAAAAAAAAAAGAACATAGCATATACACCCAACAAGGAACAGCGACATACTGGTACATCACTGGACATTGAATGGTTATACCACGATGATGCCTACAGCTGCAGGCATCATCCTGGTATCATTTTTTTCAGCTGGCGATTGGCTTTCATGTAAAAGCAATCCTAGTGGCTAATTAGCTGCAGGATTGCTTTTACAAGCATCAGGAGACAATACCCCCTTCCCCTGCTGCCTTCCACGGCTTTCTCAGGCAGTCCTGAGCCATCGGGGAACCTGAGAATGCAGCCGGTGTTTCTGCCAGCTGACCATAGAGCTGATTGGAGACCAGAATGATGCCAATCATCTCTATAGCCTAAGAAATCAGAAGCTAAAAGTAAAAAAAAGTGTATTTAAAAAAAAAAATTGCGTTTGAAAAATTGCTGCGCGAGTACTATGTGATATAAAAAATTGCAGCACCCACCATTTTATTGTTTGCTTTAAAAAAATATATGTTTGGGGTTTAAATTAATTTCCTAGCAAAAAAGACAGATTTTTTCATGTGAACAAAAAGTGTCAGAAAACGCTTGGTCTTCAGGCGGTTAGAAGAGTGAATGATGTGTGGCATAAACATCTAATGCTGGGCATAAAATGCCCCCCACCCCCCCCCCCCCCCCACAACGACCCCTTTTTGGAAAGTAGACATGCCAAACTATTTGCTGAGAGGCATGTTGAATCAATAGAAGAATTGATTTTTTTACCACAAGTTTTTGGAAAATGACATTTTTTTTTTTTTTTTACGCAAAATTGTCACTAAATGATTTACTGCTCACACATGCCATGGGTATATGTGGAATTACTCCCCAAAATATATTCTGCTGCTTCTCCCGAGTATGGGGGTACCACATGTGAGAGAGACGTTTTGGCAGTCTAGCCAAGTACAGGATCCCAAAATCCAATAAGTACCTTCAGGCTTTTAAAGGGTTTTATTTCCTCATTACACTTCCTGACTAACTAAAAATATATGTTTCAATAAATGTTGCGCTCCTAATTATTATCAATTATTACCCATATAGTAATTATGCAACTATCAGAATATATCATTTAGAGCAAATGACAAATAAATCAATACAATTAAAAAGTAATAATAATAAAAAACATAAAGTCTGTGGTACCAACTTAATAGTGATAGTCCCAAAATATACAGTGAGGTGCAGAAGTATTTGAACACCCTGCGATTTTGCAAGTTCTCCCACTTAGAAATCATGGAGGGGTCTGAAATTCACATTGTAGGTGCATTCCCACTCTGAGAGACAGAATTTCAAAAAAAAAATTCAGGAAATCACATTGTATGATTTTGAAAGAATTTATTTGTCATGCACTGCTGAACAGAAGTATTTGAACACCTAAGAAACAGCAGCAAGAATTCTGTCTCTCAAAGACCTGTTACTGTGCCTTTAAAAAGTCCACCTCTACTCCACTCATTAATCTAACTTAGTAGCACCTGTCTGAGCTCTTTAAAGACACCTGTCCACCCCACAGTCAGTCAGACGCCAACTACTACCATGGGCAAGACTAAAGAGCTGTCAAAAGACACCAGAGACAAAATTGTGGACCTCCACAAGGCTGGAAAGGGCTACGGGGCAATTGCCAAGCAGCTTGGTGAAAATAGACTAACTGTTGGAGCAATTGTTAGAAAATGGAAGAGGCTAAAGATGACTGTCAGTCTCCCTTGGACTGGGGCTCCATGCAAGATCTCACCCTCGTGGGGTATCACTGATGATAAGAAAGGTAAGGAATAAGCCCAGAACTACAAGGGAGGAGCTGGTCAATGACATGAAGAGAGCTGGGACCACAGTTTCAAAGGTCAATGTCGGCAGAACACTACGCCGTCATGGTTTCAAATCATGCATTGCACGGAAGGTTCCTCTACTCAAGTCATCACATGTCCAGGCCCGTCTGAAGTTTGCCAATGACCATCTGGGTGATCCAGAGGAGGCATGGGAGAAAGTCATCTGGTCAGATGAGATCAAAGTAGAACTTTGTGGTCTAAACTTCACTCGTCGTGTTTGGAGGAAAAAGAAGGATGAGTTTCATCCCAAGAACACCATCCCTACTGTGAAGCATGG